GCCGAGCCCGCTCCTCGCAACCGCCTGCCCCGCCCCCGGCACGCCCATTGGCCCCGCACCTCGCGCGCACCTGCCATTGGCCACTGCCTTCGCCAATCCGCTCCCACGTCTCGCGGGCTGCGGGAGCCCGGCACCAATCATCTTGGCCGACACGGGAAGCGGGCGGCCACTGGCTGCCGGGCTCGGAGCACCCGGGTGATTGGCTGGCAGTGAGCCAACCGGCATTCGGAGTAGAGTGCTCACTGCGGAAACGCCGCGGAGAGAGCCGGCGCAGGGCGCAGGACGCAGGGCCGCTGCTTATTGGCGGCTGCAGGGCAGCTCGTCCATTGGAGGCGAGTGGTCAGCACAGGTGACGAAAGAGCTTAATGAAATTACCCCGGGGCAGGCTGGCTGCTCATTGGCTGGCTTCTCTCGCGGTCTCGGCTTCCCGCAGGAGAGCGGCGCGGGGGGGGGGGCCACAGGCCTGGGGTCACGTCCACAACTACGCCGCGCGGCTCCCGGGCTTGTTTGTGCCTCTGCTCTGGGCACTCTCTGGACATGGGGTTGGCGCGTGGGCCGTTTACCCTTCATTTCTGGGATCCTTCTGGGGCCTCCCTCCCCGAGAGGCCTCGCGTTCTTACTTGCAGTCCATTGCAAAAACGCTTCCCCGTACCTCAGAGGACGCATGAACCAGTAATTCCAAGACAGTGGGATTGGGGTCTAAGAGGAGGACACTGCCCATTACATAGCACTCAGTAATTGTTCACTACAACCATCAATTATCAAAAAAAAAAGAAAAACAAAAACGAAAGCACTGTCAACATCGTCAAAAAAAAGAAAACACACACACGAAAAAACACCAAACAAACCCCAAATCATCAATTATTGGGCATTATTGAGGCACAATATTACAGTTAAGGGCATAAATCTTAAGTGTGCGGCTCGTTGGAATTTTTTTTTTTTTTTTTTGAGTTGGAGTCTCACTCTGTTGCCCAGGCAGGAGTGCAGTGCCACACTCATGGTCACCGCGGTCTTGGTCCACTGGGCTCAGGCGATGCTTCTGCCTCAGCCTTCCAAGTAGCTGAAACTGCAGGTGCATACCTATCATGCCTGGCTAATTTTTTGATTTATTGTAGAGAGGAGGTCTCATCAAGTCACCCAGGCTGGTCTTGAACTCCTGGGTTCGGGCAATCCTCTCACCTCTATAGAGCATTTTCAATGGTCCTAAACTGGAAGCAACCCAAATGTTCATGAACTGGAGAACAGATAAACCAGGGGTGTATGTTACAGTGGCCCACATGACAATTAATAAAGATAAAAAGGCGAGGATGAGTTCCACAGACATGTTGAGACAAAGAAGCAAGACCTGGATGTACTGCATAGTGGCACACACATTGTAGTTCCAGTTACTTGGAAGGCTGAGGTAGAAGGATCAGCTGAGCCCAGCAAGTCGAGGCTGTGGTGGCCGTGAACATGCTACTGCACTCCTGCCTGGGCGACAGAGTGAGACTCTGACTCAAAACAAAACAAAACAAAAATGCTCTTTGAACACTTGTTCCTATGCACTAATGTGGATATATGCATTCATCTCTTGGGCACATATTTAGGTGTATACTTGCTGGTCATAGGGTAGGCCTATGGTTATCAATATTCTTTTCAGTAGGACCAGGTGCCAAAACAGTAGTAGTGCCCAGTTCCCTGAAGGCCTATGCTATGCCGGGGGATCTAGATCCCCAATTCCCCTGCTCCTGGCTTGAGCCACAGTTCTTCATGAATTCTCCCCTTGAGCCAACCCCATACCCGTTCGCATCATGCAAAGCCCGTGACCTCAATTCCCTTAGGGTCCTGTTTGTTCACATAATGGCCCATTTCTCTTGGTCTCTGCTGGTCTGGGGACCCTTGGAGGACAGGGCGCACAGCTCACAAGGTCAGGGCCTGCAAAATACTCCTACTTGGAGCACTCTTTCCAGGGAGAGCACTTTCTTCCCTGGGTCTTCATGCTTGGCTTTGGTGGTCAAACTGATCCTGGGAAGAACTGGATTTGACAAAAGCTCATGCACGCTGTTTTTCCCACTGAGCAACATCTACTTGACTTGATACAATGGCCCAGGTGGGGAATGCTGATGCTGTCCAGCCATGGCCCAGCTTCTGATGGCCTTGGCTTACTGGGTACTCCATAAGCAACCAGACAGAGGGACTGCTCCTTACCTGTGTTGTCCCGTCAGGTCACAGGGAAGCCCCAAGAGACCAGGGTTATTAGTATCTCCATTTATAGATGGCAAGACAGAGCCAGAGAGGCTGAGTTGGTATTAAACTCAGTTGACCCCAAAGCCAAGCTCCACTGCATCTGGTTGGTTTAACATCCGCTGAGCTCGCCTGTATGTCTGCAGGTAGTAGAGACTGAGCTGGCAGAGTGGGAGAGATGGAATGGTCAGGAATGGGAGAGAGAATGGTTGTGAACAAGGCTGGAAGGGATGGTGCCCTTTATGGGGAGGACTGGTCTTGGGTGGGCACAGGGTGAGGCGGCCCTCATGGTGTACACTCCACACACAAGTGGCACTCAGTTTATGCCTGTGAGTGGATGGTATCAGTGCCCCCCAGTGAGGAACTCATACTGCAAGTAGAACAAGGAATGGCTTTAGGTGTTACAAAGGCAGACGTCATTTAATCTTGACAGTGTGGCATCCATTTACATTGTATAGAAAATGCAAGTAGCCACTGAATGTGTGTGTTCACAGATATATTGCTTTATATGAGCTAAGCAAAACAAAAAGGACTCAAATGGCAAAAAAAAATTGGATGCAATTTAAATGTTCTTTAATAAAGTACATACAACCAATGGAGTCTGAGCAACTGTCAAAAGGGACTTTGGAGCTCCTATCTAGGTATGGCTGTGGGAAGTCAACACTTTGTTCAGTTGGAGGCAAGGTTGAGGCCAGGGTGAGAGAGGAGGCCTTCTGTGGGAAGGGAGACTTTGGTCTCACTGCCTGCTCCTAGCCACTCTGCCTGCTAGTCTGTCTGGGCTACAGCCAAGGCAAGGCTCAGAGGCCACCTGGTCAGGATGCCCTTTTCTGACCTTCAGGGAGTGAGAAAGCAGGACCTCTGGCCTGACAACTCCATCCAGCTGCCTCTGTCTCCCCTGGGCCAGCTTCTCATGGACACCCACACCCAGGCTGTCCTCTGCCTTCAAAACCCTTCCCCTCTGTCTTGGTCTGCCTTCTGTTGCTATAACCGAATACCTGAGATCGGGTAATTAAAAAAAAAAAAAGACACTTACTTCTTACACTTCTGGAGGCTAGGAAATCCAAGGTAGAGGGGCCGCATCTGGTGAGGGTCTTCTTGCTGGTGGGAACTCTTGCAGAGTCCTCAGGCAGCACAGAGCAGTACATGGCAAGGGGGCTTTTGGGAAAGAACCAAACGAGCCTTTATGACAGACCCACTCTTGTGATAACCCATGAATCAATCCATTAATCTATGAATGGATTCCTCCATCCATGAGGGCAGAACCTTCATGACCCTATCATCTCCTAAAGGCCCCATCTCTTTTTTTTGGTTTTTTGAATCAGAGTGTCACTGTCACCCAGTCTGGAGTGCAGTGGCATGCTCACGGCCACTGCAGCCTTGACCTGCTGGGCTCAGGAGATCCTTCGGCCTCAGCCTTCCAAGTAGCTGGAACCACAGACGTGTGCCACCATGCCCAGCTAATTTTTGATTTATTGTAGAGACGAGGTATTGCCAAGTTGCCTGGGCTGGTCTCAAACCACTGGACTCAAGTAATCCTCTCACCTCAGCCTCCCAAAGTGTTAAGATTACAGGCGTGAGCCACTGTGCCCAGCAGGCCCCATCTCTTAATACTGTTCCATTGGGCATTAAGTTTCAACATGAGTTATGGAGGGGACGAACATTCAAGACTATAGCACTACTCCCATACCTGTGGATGCTGGCTTCTCCATCACTCTTCAGCATGGCCTCAAGGGGATGTGTCCCGGGGCTTTAGGCTCGTCTCTTCTCTAGCTTTCGCATCCTACTGTCTCCTGGAAATCCCCTAGATCCCTTGTGCTCCAAAACCTGCTCTTCCTCCTGTTTGCCCCTCCCAGAGCCCATCCATCCTGAATCCAAATGGCTTCTTGAGCCCCATCCTGCCTCTGCCAGGGCCTCAAGGTCCTTTGTCTGCGCAGCAGAGGGATCTTTCTGAAACACTGGCTGTCATTCCCTCTGCTTAAAACCCTTAATGGCGTTCGTGACCCGCCCGGCCAACTTGGCAAGACCTTGTCTCTACAATAAATCAAAAATTAGCCGGGCGTGGTAGTGTGCGCCTGTAGTTCCGGCTACTTGGAAGGTTGAGGCGGAAGGATCGTGGGAGCCCAGCAGGTCGAGGCTGCGGTGACCCAAAGTGTGCCACTGCACTCCAGTCTGGGCGACAGAGTGAGACTCCAACTCAAAAAAAACCAAAAAACAAAAAAACCCTCAGTGGCAAGCGACCTTCTGGCAGAAAGCAGCCCTACTGCTGATGACCCTATCTGCTTCTCACACATCCCACTCCCGCCAGACCAAAGGTCCCAAGTTTTCCAGCTGGCTAGCCTCAGCATGGGGGCAACCTCTGCCACTGCCCTTCCCAGGGCAGAGCTGCCCACTCCCTGTTGGAGAACATGCTACTCTTCTGGGTCCTCCCTGCGCCTCCATTTTCCCCAGAGATTGGCCTTGTTGGAGGGGAACAGGTCTGATTCACCAAGTTCCTAGTGTCCAGCATTCAGTTGGCCCATGGAGAGTAACTGAGCACAAAGAGCTAGTGTTGTGGGCTCCTAGCCCACAGCTCTGGACAGACCTGGGTTAGAGTCTGGAGGCTGCCCCTGGGCATGTACCCTATTAGTTCTGTGCCTCAATTTTTTCATCTTCAAAATGAGGATGATTTTTGTCTTTATTTTTTTGAGTTGGAGTGTCACTCCATCGCCCAGGCTGGAGTGCAGTGGCAAGCTCATGGCCACTCCAGCGATGACCTGCTGGTCTCCTGTGATCCTTTCACCTCAGCCCTCCAAGTAGCCGGAACTATAGGTGCGTGCTACCATGCCCAGCTAATTTTTGATTTACTGTAGAGATGATGTCTCACCAAGTTGCCCGGGCTGGACTTGAACTCGAGGGCTCAGGCAATCCACTCACCTTGGCCTCCCAAAGTGCTAGGATTACAGGCTAAGTCACGGAGGAGCTTGGCCTCACAACAGATAAGCTCTTAGAGTCAGAAAGCAGATTAACGTTGGCAGGAGGTGGGGAGGTGGGGGGGTAGGGTGGTA